GAATAGTGCATACTCACATTGTTAGGCCTCACTTAGAATAGTGCATACTCGCACTGTTAGGCCTCACTTAGAATAGTGCATACTCACCTTTTTAGGCCTCACTTGGAATTATGCATACTCACCTTTTTAGGCCTCACTTGGAATTATGCATACTCACCTTGTTAGACCTCACTTGGCATAGTACACTTTCACCCTGTTAGGCCTCACTTGCAATTGTGCTTACTCACCCTGTTAGGCCTCACTTAGGATTGTTCGTAAAGATTTGATCTTATTTAAACAAACAAACAAAAATATATTTACATAAGTTTTAAATCTTAGGCGATTGGGATGTTAGGGTTATCCTATAGAGATATGTTAAGATAAGTTATTTTCTCTTTTCTCTTGAAAAAAAAGCATAAGAGGCTGTCTTATTGAAGTTTACAAGATTATCGAGGGAAACTACAAGATAATGGCATCTGATTTCTCTGTAGTGCATGCTTTAGAGGATAGGATGAGAGGACACAAGTCTAAATATGAAGGAGGGTGTAGTAATTTTTAATTTTTCCAAGGTTTGATATGCAAAAACATTCTTGAAGGAAAGAACCAAATGGACCCTTGTCCATTTCTAAGTTTAAAGCTTGTTGCTTTGCGTCACATTTACCCGACTCCCAGAATGTAATATATGATATTTAATTATTTTTGTTGAAAAATTAATATAACTGGTTTACAGTAGATTACTTGATTCTAATCTTTCTTAGAACGCATTCACCATCTTGGGTGATTTATAGTGATTGGAACTTTCAGACGTACATCTTATTATCCCACCACATTAGTGCACAAGACGTACTTTAATGCACTTTTTGGTGCTAAAAGTACTTCCCAAATTTACCGTATTCTTCTAATAAAATACTTTCTAATAAATACTGATTTTATGTAAAGTTAAATACAATATGAACTTGATGACAATGTTTGTTAAAACCTCAGCTTTATTTGAAAAATTAAGGACAGGACTTGTTAAAAGTATAGCTTTGTTTCTGAAGCTAAGAACAGTGTTTGTTGATACAACTGCTTCGTTTTTATAATATTAAGGAAAGTTTTGCTAAAGTTACAGCTTCATTTATAAAATGTTAACGACAGCGTTTATTAAAACTATAGCTCTATTTCTGAAGTTGACGGCAGTGTTTGTTAAGACTATATTTTGTTGTAAGCTGTATATTTTTATTGTAATTTATTTGTTAGCTTGAGGGAACTTCGGGTTTTGATAATGTAATGTGCTGTTAAATTCACATTAGCTCCATAAATATCTAGAACAAGAGTAGATTATAAAAACGACGTTTCGTGAAGAGTCAAATTAATTGAAAGAGAGATATCGCGCTACTTTATGAAAATCTGTTAATCGTACGTTAATCCTAGTACTGCAGTTTATGAGATATAATGTAATTTGTAAACGTAGGCCTAAAAATAACGATATTTTGAAATTGGTTTAGTTTGTCGAAAAAGTTTAAAAGAGGAAGTATACTGATTTTGTCTCATTAGGTTGACTGGACGTTGAATTGTTTTCTCTTGATAATTTAAAAGAATCTGCCCAACAGAAGAATTATATTACAATGTTTATGTTAGGAGGGGGGGGAGGACATAGTTTAGTGAAAGTACAATAGAATAGAAAATATTTGGAATAGAATTTCAACTGTTGAAGATGGCGATCACAAGAACAAGTGTGAGATTCAAGGTTTACTTGAAATGGTGAAATTATCAAGAAAAAATAAGAAAAAAACGAGATAGAAAATTTAGAAAAGATCAAGAAGAAGTTTACAGAAAAATAAATCAAGAAGAAGGAGACGTACTATTTAAAAAATTGAAAATAAAAATCAATCTGACTGAAGAAAAAATCGATGGCACTATTAGGGTGTACAGAAAAATTACAACAACGAAGATTTAAAACATAATAGAAAGGCTGTAATGACATGACTAAAATATAAAAGAATGTTGACAAAGTAATAAATGAAATAAAGAAAGACATCATTGAAGTAGAAAATAACATCATTGATAGAATAAGACATCTGGAAAACGAAAAAATTAAATGCAAAGATTAAACTAGCCATACATCTTTTGGCATTGACTACCAACCTAAAACATCATGTATTACAAGATATGGACTAGAAGAACTTGTATGTTCTACACTTATTACCACTAATATTGTAGCATCTGACATTGAAGGACTTTCTTGGACTACTCTAGCCACGACTCTATCAAATCCAGTTCCAGAAATTTGCTGGCCTGTTCAACAATAACCAATAGATAAATCAAAGGACTATAATAGAAATATGTTACGGGAGTTATACAGGATCAGTTTAAAATCACTTCCATAGAGAATGGGTAGAATACTGAACCACAAGCCTTTCTTCTTGCTGCCCATTTAAAAGGACCACCTCTGATAGTATTGTGCAACCTTGCAGCTGATATTTGTAACAACTACCAAGCATTGGTAGCTACCTTATCCAGAAGGTTTGAAGTGGCATAAAACAGAAAGAAGTGTTCAGAGCTACGTTCCAGAACAGGTTATAGAGGAAAGAAGAACATTTATCCCAACTTGCAAAATATTTGGAAAGGTTTTCCCATTTATTGTACCCAAATGC